AAAATCTTCTCAGGCTTGGCTATAATCTGCCTTTCTAATCCTCATTGAAGATCTGCTGATATGCATTCTAAACATGGGTTGTGCTTAGATGTCAGCAGATTTCTTTTTATCTTTTGCTTCAGTGACCTTTAAATGAGTCATGATCAACTTGATGACAGTGGATTTGGTTTTGATTCGAGTTAGTTTCTACAAGAAATGAGAGCTTTTGATGTGGAACTGACGAGAGACAAACTTTAGGTGAGTTGGAGAGTTAACAGTTAGGGATGGAAGGAGTAGGCAGAGTCACTGTGTCAAAAAAAATTGGCACAGAAGAATTTTATGGAAAAGCATACAACCAATAGGCAGTGGTGATGAAAGAGGAAGTTCAAGCTTGTCTGAAATAATTGGCAAAAAACAAGACCTCGGGAAATGATGGGATACCAGTTGACATATTTCAACAAACTAATGCAGCCCTGGACGTGCTCACCAGGCTGTACCAAGAAATCTGAAAGACAACCTCTTGGCCAGCTGACTGAAAGAGATCCATATTTATTCCCTTCAAAAAAAGGGTCACCTGACTGAGTGGGGAAATATAAAACATTATTACTAACACCACATACAAGCACAATCCTGCTGAAGATCATTTAAAAAAATGATTGGAACAGTACATAGAGAACTACCAGAAATACAAGCTGGATTTGGAAGAGTCCATGGCATGAGGGATATCACTGCAAATGTTAGATGGAGCTTGGCTGAAAGCAGAGAGCACCAGATAAATGTCTGTGTTTCATTGACTATGCAGAGGCATTTGACTGTGTGAATCACAAATAATTGTGGCTAACATTAATGAGAATGGGAATCCCAGGACACCTGATTGTGCTCATGTCAAACCTATACTTGGACAGGAGGCAGTTGTCAAAACAGAGCAAGAAAACATCGCATGGTTCAAAATCAGGAAGGGAGTGCATCAGGGATGCATCTTGTCTCCTGCCTTTACGTTCTATTTGCATGAGGCCAGACTTTATGAGGAGGAATGTGTCATCAGGATTGGAGGGAAACTCATTAACAACCTGCATTATGCAGATGACACAACCTTGCTTGCTGAAACTGAGGAGGGCCTGAAGCATTTGCAGCAGAGGGTTGAGGACTGTGTAGTCTGCAATATGGTTTGAAGCCCAATATGAAGAAAACAAAGATTCTCACCACTGGGCCCACTGACAGCGTCATGATAGATGGAGAAGAGATTGAGATTGTTAACAATTTCAGCTTCCTTGCTTCCGCAGTTACCACTGTTGGCACTAGCAGTCAGGAAATCAAATGGATTGCATTAGGAAAATCTGCTATCAAAGACTCTGCAGAGTGTTAGAGAGCAACGATGTCAGTCGGGAGACTAAAGTGTGCCTGATCCAGGCCATGGTCTTTGCAATTACCTGTTATGCATCAAGAGATGTGGACAGTGACCTAAGAGGGACAGAAGCACTGATGTCTTCGAATTGTGCCGTTAAAGAAGAATATTGAATGTACCATAAACTACCAAGAGAACTAAGGTCTGTTCTGGAGAGGATAAAGCCAAACATTTTTTGGGGGAAAAAAAAGAATTTTGAGGCTCTGTCGCAAATACTTTGGGCATGTTGCCAGGAAAGACCAGTCCTTAGACAAAGACATCATGCGCGGAAGGGTAGAGGGACAACACAGGAGAGGAAGACCCCTGATTAGATTGACACAGTAACTGGGGTAATGAGGGTAGATGTGTCAGAAATAGTGAGATTGGCCCAGAATAGAATAAGGTTCAGAGCTACTGTGTGTAAGGTCACTGTGAGTAGTGGTCCGCTTGACAGTACATAACAACATCTTAATTGAAAATTGAAGTTGCCAACAACTTTATCTTTATTGGACCCGTAATCATGTTTTGTACCGGCAGTCAGGAGATCATGAGATGGATTATATTGGGCAAAGCTGCTGTCGGGGATCTCTCCAAATTACTTAGAAGCAATGATGTCATTTTGAAGACTAAAGAACACCTGCTTCAGGCCATGGCCTTTTCACTTACTCTGCATCTGAGAGCTGGACAATGAATAAGGATGATTGAAAAAAGACTTGATGCATTTCATCCGTAGTGTTGGAGAAAAAAAGAACAAGCAGACATGTCTTAGGGAAGGTGCAGTCGAATATTCCTTGGAGGCAAAGATGATAAAGTTTAGTTTCACATACTTTGAGAACGTTACTAAGAGAGGCTAGTCTTTGAAAAGGAGATCACCCATCTTCTTCCCGCTGGAAAGACCTCAGGATCAGTGAAAGAGGAGGACTGTCCACTTGATTGACACGGAAACTGCAGCACTGGGCTCACGTATGACAGAGACTGTAGGGATGGCACAGGGTAGGACTCGGTTCACATCTGTTCTTTATAGAGTAGCTTGAGTCATACTTAACTCAGTGGAACCGAACAACAACTTCTCAGTTAGGGAACTCTGGTGGCCTGGTGATAAGAAACTGCATTGCCAAACTGAGGGCATGCAGTTCAAATCCACCAGCTGTTCCATGGGACAGGGTCTTCTTGTGTGGTGTACTATGTTTAAAACTCACTGGAGAATCAGCTATCAGTCCATTCCAACTCTGAAAACCCTGCTGAAGAGTCAGCTATGCTATGTAACAACTTCTTAGACACTAAAAATGGTAGAGGGTGCTGAGGTAGAGGGATAGCCTCCCCTGTCCTGAGAAATGTATGCTTTTGTGTTGTTAATAGAGAGTTGCTTTTGTTGTTTCCTTTTTTGTAATGGGAACTCTTAGACGATTATCTAAATACAGTATATTTTAAAATAAAACATGCACCATGCAAGGACTTATTGAACTTAATTTTAGCTTACCTGTGCATTGTATGTGTGTCACATTTTCCTCGTGTGTTATATTCAAACAAATGGGGCAAATGAAATTCTCTACAAATGAATTTATTCAGGTAGAACCTTTTATTTGTATGGAAATAAAAAAAAATCTCTGTACTTAGTTAAACTTCTCAAGAATAGTATCTCAACTTAGAATACTAATAACCAAACCCCATTAAACTATGTCTTCACACACACCGTTCAGACTGACCGTCACGAATCACGTCAGTGTCCATCGCTGTAAAATGTCTTGCCTCAGTGCTTGTACACATGGTGCCATTGTTCCAAGAGGTTCTTCCTCTTTATGCCATGGCCAAGTCAACTCATTCTTAAATATACCTTATGAAGCTTCTTGGTGGTCCTTGCTGGCATTCCTAGGCAGATGTGCCCCACTTCTCACTCTCTTGTTGCCGCCTCTGGTTCCTAGTGTGTTGCACATTGGGTTGCTCACCCACAGGTTAGTGCTTCCAACACACAAATAACTCCTCAGCAGAAAGATCACACTCTCATTCTGTGAAAATGTACTGCCTTAGAAACCCATCAGAACGTTCTGGTAATCTAGTGTTTAACAGTTGTTCTCCTAACCCAAAAGCAGGCGGCTCCACTTGCTGCATTGAGGCGAAGATGAGCAGTCTCCTCCCTTGCAGTATATAGCCATTGAAGCCCACTGGAGGGTCAGCTATGAGTTGGTTAAGACACAACCACACATAACAACAATAGAAGCCTCTGGTGGTCTTCATGCGTCAGACTTGACTGTATAGGTGTTGTGTACTGTTGAGTTGGAACCGACACACCCTCCTGTGGGTTTTCAGAGGCAGTAAATCACATTAGAAGAGAATGCCATCCTTCTGTGGACCGGCTGGTGCATTCAAATTGCGTGATTTTGAGATTGCAGTGTAGTGGTTTGTTTTTTTGTTGTTTTTTGTTTTCTTCCTGCTTCCCGAGAACTTGGTCACACCCATCTACCATAACCTCTATCACAATGTCCTGTCATAAATCGAATACTTCAATTTTTTGCATTTTTTTCTAATTATTATTTTTCTCTCTACTTATCACTGTCTAAAGGGAGTTCTAGTCGCCTAGTGGGTTGCGAGTTGCACTGTTAACTCAAAGGTGTGTAAGTCAAATCTACCAGCTGTTTAGTGGGAAAAATATAAGCATCTTCTCTCATGGGATTTACAACCTCTGAAAACTGCTGCATACTCAGCACTGGATTGGTTCTGACTAAACACTGGTGAGTTGTGAGTTATCAGTATCTGGAAATCTGACCTTTGTACTTGGGGTTGACATGAGAATGAAAGTATCAGTAAACTACATGTGACAAGTATGTGTGTAATGTTGTTGTGCTGTGTACCATCAAGTTGGAGCTGACACATAGCTCACCCAACAGTGGATTTTCAGAGGCAGTAATTGCAAGGGAGGAGATTGCCTATCCTTCGTATGATTATGTCTGTCAGATACAAAAAGAACAATAAGAGATGTGTGTGAGAAAAGCCCCAAACCATAATGTTCTTAAGAGACAAACTGTGATCAAGCTTAGAAGCGCTAGTCCAAGGTATAAAGACACTGCCAAATACAACCAGAAATGCACAATCTAAAGAAGATAAATTGATGCATGGGACCTTCTAGAGATAAAATCTCTATGCACATGAAAAACTTCTTCCAACAGGGTGAAAAGAAAACCTGCAGGCTGGGAACGAACATTTGGCAATTCCATCTCAGACAAGAGTCTTATGACAAAATTTACAGAATACTCCTGGGCCTCCACAAGAAAAAGACTGATAACCCAATTACACAATGGGCAAAAGACATGGAAAGATTTTCTAATAACTCAAATTAAGTTGAGAATTGCCTGTTGTGTGCCTAGAAGTTGAGCCTTCTGGGTTGATAACCACTACATATAGTAGTGACAACAATGGACTTAGGAAGACCAGTAGTCAGGAAGATGGCTCGATGCTAGGCAACGTTTCCTGTTTATGGAGTTGATGGAGGCTAGCTACTAGCCATTCTGAGAGTCCAGTGGCACTCGGTTTGTAATACATTTCAGCATTTGTTGAGGAGGAGGGACAGTGTGTGATCTGTGTCTCTGGATACATGGACATCTGCCATGGTAACATGTCTCCATCACTTTTTGTCTTGCAGAGGATCAAATTCCCAGGGGCTTCCCAACCATTGACATGGGCCCACAGTTGAAGGTGGTAGAGCGCACGCGCACTGCCACCATGCTTTGTGCAGCCAGTGGGAATCCAGATCCGGAAATCACGTGGTTCAAAGACTTCTTACCTGTTGACACGAGCAACAACAACGGCCGCATTAAGCAGCTACGATCAGGTAGGGTCCTGTTACTGTTCCCACTAACACCTAGAGAATTTTTGTATCTTCCTTTCTCCCCTTTAATTTTTTTTCCTTTCCTTTATTTTTTTTACTCCTTAAGTATTGGTTTGTTCTCCCTCCTCACTTTTCTCTGTTATTTAATGTGCCGTCCATGTGTGTGATGTCATAGACCGTTTCAGATTCTATTTCTCTCCTGTCTGTGTGTTTTGCAGCTTCTGTTCAATCCACATTGCTCACTGCTGTGACTGTATTTTTGATATTTTTTTTGTTTGATTTACTGCTCTTCTGCAGTATCTGATGGTTCCATTTCCTCTTTCTTTCCTCTTTTCTCTGTTTTCTTTTGAAACAAATTTATTTCATTATTGGACTTCGTTCAGAACTTGCAAGGAGTCCCAATGATCGTGTCCATTAAAACTTTAAATATTCATATTAAGCACTAAAAATGATTTGATTTGATTTGATGAAAGCATGTTCTCTGCTGTCTTCTCTACATTTGACCTCATCAAAGTACCAAAAGTTTAGTAAGTTTTGAGCACAGTTGCTTTCTTTTCACTACTACATGAAATACAAAAATTCTGTCCTGTGATTAATCAGATGCATTTTTTGAAAAAGAAAAAAAACCATCTTGCTTAAGTACCCATGAAAGGAGGGGATTTTGGTTAGTATTATTGTGCTAATTGGGAGTGAGCCTTTTCTACACATTAACCTCTGTAATGTGTTTCCATACCTAAGTGTTTTGGACTTACTGGTTTTGTTGGTTTTTTTTAACCCTCAAGTGACTGGATCTACAGAAGTCTGCTTTTGGTGTAGATTCCAGTTCCTTCTTTCTCTCTTTCTTTCCCTCTTGCCCTTTCTCCTCCCATCCCTGCCCTAAGTTTATTCCCTTTGCTTTCTTTAGATGAAAAGTAGTGCTAATTCTACACTTCTTAAGTTTTCAACTCTGTCCCTTGTTAATGTCCTGGGGACCTAGGCCAGTAAGTTATATACTGTGACATTAGGAGTGATATTACTAGACGCTTCTAAGTTGTTTAACTGCCTGTCTTCCCAGAATCCTCAGCTTTTGACCTGTCCTGTGATGTTATAGCGTCTTGTTAACTGCCTCTCTTGCTTGTTGTCAGAACTGTGTAGATTAGCATTCTGTTATTGTAAATTAAGTAGTAATTATTCACCTGTAACATAGATGATTTAGTGTATAAAGCTTTAACTCTGAAAAATTTGTACCAGATTATAAGGAGTATAATAATATTTTTATGCTGTCTTTCTTCTCTCCGTATTTTAATCTCCAGAATCTATTGGTAAGTGCTTAGTTCTGAAGCGCACTTCACCCCCCCCACTAATTTCCATATTCAGAATATTATTATTATTATTAATAAAATGCATGGCATGCATTTTACTAACTGTCAGTGTAGACACCAGGTCTCCTTAGTGGCGCACACACGCACACCTCCACAGAATCGTTGTCGTTAAGAATACTGTGTAGATCAAATAGTGCACACGTTATATCACTCAAATGTAGCATAGCCACTGGCTTGATGTGAGCCGGTCAGCAGTATATATACCTAGTCAGTCGGTAGCATTTCCTATAACAGTATATATATATATGCATATCTATATATATACTTAGATTAGCCAGTATTTTCCTGAACCTTGCTTTGAAAAATATCGTATAGTTTTTTTATATTTTCTTATTAAAGGATGTGAGGTTTATGAGATATCATTCTAACCTTGTAGAACCCTTGACCCAAGAATTCAGTTACTTCCCCAAGGAAAGCAGTGCAGCCTATTGAGGTCTTTGCCCTCTGTGGTATAATGCAACTTGCTTTTATGATCTAATAATACTATCTAATATATTCCTGTTTTACCAGTAGAGTAATTCAAGTTTCTTTTAAGACCTTATTGAATTCTGTAATCTAATTGAATTCTTCTCCCCAGCCCTAGCCTCCTTCTTCTCGTACTAATGCTTCTTCTTTCTAATCTTATTTGCATTCATATTATCCACGCAGGTGGTACACCAATAAGAGGTAAGAGTGCTGAACTAACGTTCACAGAATGATCTTGCTCATTCTCTCTGTCCGTTCATCCCTCCCATCTTTGTCCTGTTTTCAAACCCATTCCAAGAACGCCCATCAACTTTGTTTTCCCTTCGTACCATTTGGTTATCATCACTGACTGTCATCTTGTGGACTTTCCTTTCTTTTCCTTTTTCTCTTTATTTGGCTCCTTTCCTCTTTGTTTTGTTCATTTCTTTCTTTTCAAAAACAATGATTTAAGTTGTGATATGCTTCAAAGAAAGCATATCAGGTCTTTAGACCACAGACCAGTCACAGCGTACCATCTGTCCCTTTTTTTTCCTTTCTTCTTCTTCCTTTTTCTTTTTTTCTCTTTTTTGTTTTTTTTTTTTCTTCTTTTTTCCCCCCTTTTTTTTTGTCCGACTGGAGAAAAAAAAAGATCATTTTTTCTTCCTTAGCTGTTCTTGTTCTGGACCAAAGCCAAGGGTGGTCTGGAGAACAGTGGCAGACATGCAGAGGACTCGCTGGGACGCCAACTTTTTGTCTTTATCTTTCAAAAGGTTTTTGCTTTTGTTCTTCAATGCCTTTTTTTTCTCTTAATGTCTTAAAAGTCAAAGAATGACTCCCCTTTCCACCCGCTCCCACTCGCCTACAAGCTGACAAAAATGCTTTCCCCCCCCCCCAACTTCTTTTTTTCTTGGATTTCCCGCCTCTGGATTTTTGGATCTTCCGTCCTTCAGACTATGGAAACACAGGTGCACAGTACTCTTGGTGGTATGTGGTATCGCTGGTTTTTCATACTTTGACTTGGTGTTCATTTCTTTTGTAATTCTTGTTTTGTCTTTTTCTTGGGGTTTTGTGACACCACACTGCTAATCCCACTGGTGGATTTGTTGGGTGTCTTAGGGGATCCCTCTCACGGTCCTCAAGCAGTGACTGGTCGACTTCTTCGCTGACATCGACCAAGCTTTTTAACATTTTTTGTTTTTCGATCTTCTAATCCAACTGAACTTTGTTTTCCAGCAAAGCAAACGTTATCAATGATTGTATTAAGTTATGGCAAATGGTCTTTCTTTTCTTAAACCAATCTGCATGTCTTAAGGGAGTTTTGTTTCTTTAAGTGCTCTTTTGATAACTTCTAATGACTAATTTTCATTTTTTTTCCACTCTGTGCAGCCCTTTTTTTGTGCTCGCTGCCGATTTTTGGCTTTCTTCCACAGAAGACTTTCTTGAAAACCCGGCCTGGGAACTTTTTTTTTAATGTGCTGATATTTTGCGCCACTTTTGAGACCCAAATGAAACAAAACAAAATCAAAACAACCAAACATAAAAGTTATCTATATATCTATATATATATTAATCTTTTGTTTTATTTAAAAGCCATACTTCCTTGAAGCAGTCTCACCCATCTTCATTTTATTAGTCTAGGACAATAAGCGTGTTCATTATGACTAGAAGGCTTGCTTGGGAAAAGAGATATGTTTTCTTATGCTAGCATTGGTGATGTTAAATTAAAATAAAAAATAATCTTTATATGTTTTTCTCATCGCATCATTTTCTGTCTGTGCACCTTAGCGAGAGATTGAATCGGCGTTGAGCGGACCTTCGCTTTTCAGGGTTTTTCATGTTATAAGAGGTTTAGCTTTCTGGACTGAAAAGACCTTCTCTGACCTTGTCTTTGGCAATATATTTTATATCCATACAGGCGCCCTTCAGATCGAACAGAGTGAAGAGTCTGACCAAGGAAAATATGAGTGTGTTGCCACCAACAGCGCGGGCACTCGCTATTCTGCCCCTGCCAATTTATATGTCAGAGGTAGGAACACCATAACCTTGGCCTTGGGTCTTCATGCAGGCTCAGGGGAGTGGAGATGCCCACAGGATCTATGCTGTTACGTCAGCTCTTGCCCCAAGGTCTCGGTCCCACTCACCGTAGCCGAACCCTCTTAGTGACTAGAGATTTCAAACGTTTCAATATGTTGTTTTTTAAAAAAATGCCACCCTTGAGTGGAACTTATCCTGAGGCTTGAAGTTTGTAAGTATATGTGCATTTTGATTTTTATTGCACTGGTTGAATTCTGCTTGGCATTGGTTTGAGGGCTTTCTTCCTTTCTTCTCTCTCTCTCTCTTTTTGCTGTTATTCTTTCTCTAATGTTTCCTTATCAATGCCTGACATAATTTCTCAGTTTGCTACTACTACTAATCAGTTTCTGTGTAGCTCCAGGCAGAGGGGTGTTTGTGCCTCCAAAACCACTGTGCTTTGAAAGGAAAAAGAATGCTACATGCCAGGAGCATTCTTTCTGTTTTCTTATTTATGAACACATAGTAGGTATATGTGTGGAGAGAGAGATATAACATATAAATCCACATATGCACACCATATTTGTTTAAATTAGTAAGATTTACTCAAACGTTTAATCTTCTTTTTTGTCATGAAATATTGATTGTATTTTTTTAAAAAAGCCACCTGCTGCCATTGGGTCTAGAATGAGTTTTAAAGATACGTTCTCATAATAGAAATGATTGGAAGTTTGAGCTTAACAAATGGCCCTGCCTTTCACTCCAGCTGAGAGGAAGTGTGGCTGCCGCTTCTTCTCTGGGATTCCCAAAGCTAGTGTCTGTACTGTTGATGAGATGGAAATGTTCTTTTTCTAGGTCTTTATGCCAATGAATAACCAGAGGAGGGAGGGCCGGGAGGGTGGGAACCGAGGCAAAGCTGATGAAGGGAGCTTTAAGCTGGTTAGAGTAAGAACATATCTAGCTTGATTTTGAAATTTTTGCTAAAGATGATTATACTTCCCTGGGATTTTCCACCCCCTCTACCCTCTTTGTCTAGAGTCTGGGTTGGGAGGTTATGAAGGAAAGCCATGCTTCCCTAAATGATCGGACAGTCCCATGGCCCTTATTGTCACAATGGTGACCTCCTTTGCTGCATGAGGCATGTGTCCCTTCTTCGACAGAAAAGAAAAATTTCAAAATGACGCTAGCTATTGGTTCTAATACTGTGTTAGTCGGTGAGGAATTGCTAACTTTTCCAGCCAGTGTAGTTAACCGCCTAGACTAATTAGAACAAATAAGATGGTCAAGTAGCAGGTGGGAAAGCCTTGATATGGCCTTTTTACTCTCTCTGTGTTTCCCTTGTTTTTCTCCTTTCCTCATTTCATTGTGTTCTGCATCAAACCCCCTACATCCCTCAGAGCTGCGAGAAGGTTGGTGTGTTTTTTACTTTTTACCCACCTTACAAAACTATTCATTAAACCAATAACAAAGAATACAAATGAAATGAATGTAGCTGCACTGTGGTCCTCTTTTGGTGAATGGGATGTCTTAGCAGAGAATGCCTGGCTGTGGCTTCCGGTGCTTGCTGGTGGTGTCTGCCTGGGGCATGAGGGGAGAGAATGGGTTCGGGTGCATGGGAAGTGGTAACCCCTAACTCTCTAAGGCCCAGTGACGCGCTCAGTGTTCCTGATTTCCTTCCTGCTCCGCACCTCCATTTCCCACCCGCTTTTACTGTGTCTCATGTGGATGCCTGCTGCCCACAGACTGACTTTCTAATTGATCCCCTAATCCAAAGCATGAAAACTAAACTCTCCCCCCATTTTTCTTGACATGTCCATGGGTACCCCCCGACTCCACACTGGCCCCTGCTTGCTCTGTGTGACCTCTGTGAATTGGCTGCAGGGAGCATGCCTACAGCTCTCTCTTGATTTCTTCTCCTCTGCCTGTCACTCACTCCTGAGGCCATCACAGCAAGCCCTCTCTGAGCAGCAGAGGGTCACCTCCACCCTAAGTGCAGCCCAAAAGTGTCCAGACAGAATTATTGCTCTATTGAATTGATTGTCTTCTTGGGATTACATAGTTGCTGGGTTATTAGCTTATTCTTTTCTCTAAAATTACGTGCATGACCTCTTCATCTGGACTTAGGTTTCTTCTAATGATCACCTTCTAGATCTCAAATACTCTTGGTGTAATATCCTGCCACCTCAAAGCCTTCCACCAAACCACCCTGTCTCTGACCCTCTCCATGAACGCAGCCCAAGCCATGTGCATTTAAATGCACACAAACATGCGGAGAGTCTGAAGCGGGAACACTGATCTATAACTGCTTGATCATTTTATCTGTGCTGTGGTGCTTTAAGACGACTTCTCTTACTGTTCTGTTCTGCTGTGTGTTTTAGGTCCAATGTCCCTCCATTTGAATGTGGGCATAAAGAGTCGCTCACTCGAATCTGTTTTCATTTATGTCGACTCACCTTAAATACCAGCCGAGTGGAGTCCTGAATGTGACCCGCCCAGCACCCTCCCTGTCCTTCCCTTTAACACCCTGAGCTTTATCTAGCATCCTCCTCCTTCCTACCTGATGCTAAGCCCCGTCTTAGTCAGCGTACTTTACTGCCATCGCTTTGTGTTTAAGTCTGTCCCCCTGTTGTTTCCTCTGCCGTCATCGTTGTCTCGGACTCCGGCCATGTTCCTGTGGACCTCTCTGCATGGGTCTTGAGATTCCTCCCTGTGCACGCCTTGCATGACCCGATCCAGTATCTCAGCTTTGTTTCTTCTCCTGTGACTGTACATGGATATATATGATTATGTACATATTTCTGTGTGTGTTCCTGTGTTATTGTGAGGTCTCGAGGCTGCATCTACTCTGAGTCTGAAAGCAAATCAAATTGCACTTTATTGTACTGTAGGTGATGTTTTCCAAGGCTGGCACGTGACCGTGTGGTCCCGCGTGTACAGTCACATCAACTGGAAGTGCCTTGTCCTGCAGTTGGTGTTAGTACTGAACTCAGGCTTGGCTAGTGACCTTCCAGTCCCCTTTTCTGCATATACATGGATGCATAGAAATATTTTCATATGCATGCATGTATATGCCTGTGTGTTTATATTAATGCATGATGTCTGTGTATGTTAGTTTGTAGATAGTTCTTTTTTATCATTATTTCATGTTTTGTAGGGTCCTTGGAGGTCTTAATAAACTTTTGTATGAATGTGTCTATGGTATAAATTATTGAGCAGAATGAAGCTTTCTGTGTATACACACACCATACTTGTATGGTCTGTATTATCCACAGTTTTGATGTTTTGTTTCCGGACAGCCCACAGTATGTTTTAATTGTTTAATTGTGTCTGTACTGTGCATGTCATGTGTTTAATAAGCCACAAGGTAAACATTGCCGTGTATGTTATTATTTTTCCCTGTGTTTTGTTCCAGTTCGCCGTGTCCCACCACGATTCTCTATCCCACCCACTAATCATGAAATCATGCCAGGTGGAAGTGTTAATATCACCTGTGTGGCTGTGGGGTCACCAATGCCTTATGTGAAGTGGATGCTGGGGGCAGAAGACCTGACACCTGAAGATGACATGCCAATAGGAAGAAATGTCCTAGAGCTTAATGATGTAAGACAGTCAGCAAATTACACGTGTGTCGCCATGTCCACGCTGGGTGTCATTGAAGCAATAGCACAGATCACTGTCAAAGGTATGTCCTGTGACTCTTGCCCCGAGGATCTGGATACATTGGTGCCACCTAGGTCATGCCTTCAAAAAGTCTGTTCTTAGAAGTCAATAATGACTCCATTCTGTGTTTTAGATCTGAACTTCCTACTCATAACTACAGTACACGTAAGATACATCTGTCTAGGTATGCAGTCACTCTCAGGAGTATTGACAGCCTAAGTAGGCATAATCGTGGAAATATTTAACAACAAGCTGGGCTCAGGCACTGATCAGAAAGAGAGGGGTCCTTGTGTCCCAGCTGGCGTGAACAGAACTTCCGTAAGCCAGAGCATTATCAGGAGAAAAACCCAAACATAAGTTAATACCTGCTTAAAATCCTTGAGGGATATAAAGAAGAATTTAAAATAACATGGTATAATAATGCTAACTACCACTTCCTATCAAGTCCTTTCCAACTCATTGACCCCGAGTATGTCAGAATAGTACTGTCTCAGTGACTAGTTTCTGGAAGTAGGTACCAAGTCTCTGTTCAGATCTAATTAGAAAACTTAACCGCCATCAAGCCAGAACTGACTGATAGCTGACCCTCCCGACGGTGTTGGTGTTTGGGAGCTGTAATCTGTGGTCACATGTGAGGAGATTGGTCATCTGCCTTCCATGGAGCAGCTGGTGGATTTGAACTTGAAGAGGGAGAGATCCGCATTTTGCTTAGTGGCACAGCCCTGGAGACTAAGCCACACTGCTTTAAAATTTTAATAGACCTTAGTATTGTAAGTTCAAATGCACATAACCTTTATTTTGTTGTAGCTTTTAAATTTAATCTTGTATGGAGTCCTTAACAAAGATTATTTTCTGAAACCAAATCTGCTTAATATGCAGAACCCATGCTTTAGAACCCATGATTATATTTGAACTCAAGGAAAAGAAATGTGAGATTGTATTATTATTTTAATGAACATTTGTAGAATTTTAGAAAACTTGTAAATTAAGACTGACCATGATAAAATGTTTTTATAAATATCTAGAATTATTACTGAGTGAATAAAACTGCCTTCCCTTCCTAGAGAGTATAATCTTAGAAAATGTAAGATGTGACAATGCATAAATGTTTCACAGCATAGGCTCAGTTGGTAACATAGTCTCAAACAAGCATATACATAAATAGAAATATATGCATACAGTATTAATTAATCATAGGACAAAGGAAGATTATAGAATGTAACCCTGGTTAACATTAATTATAGTTGACAACCACCACTCTATATTGAAGGAGCTCTGGTGGCCCAGTGGTAAGAAGCTGCACTGCAGTCCAGAGGCACATGATTCAGATCCACTGGCTGTGCCACAGAAGAAGGACAGGTGACCTCTTTCTATGCAGTTTACTGCGTCTGACAACCTGCTGGAGGGTCGGTTCCAACTCGATGACGCACTAAAGTAATAACACCAATAACATTAGATTGAGTGTCCTTAAAATAGTAAAACCATTCTTCTTACCATACAGCCACATTTATACAAAAAAAGTGATGCAGTGAGACCAATAATGGTGCTAAATAGTACTAAACGCTTAGCAATAGTTTTGCTGATGTGAAGAATTTCGAAAGGATCTCACACTTCTTGAAAATTGCCAGGTCAGAATATTTGAGCCAAATCTTTTTAAAAATAATTTTCAGTAAATACTGTTAGCTAAATATTGTCATCCTATAGTGCTTGGAGTAGGGAGCTCTGGTGGCCTAGTGACAAGAAGCTGCGCTGCAATCCTGAGGACACACAGTTCAAGGCCAGCAGCTGCTTCGTAGGAGGAGGATGGGCAGTCTCCTCCAGTGCAGTTAACTGCCTCTGAAAACCCAGTGGAGGGTCAACTGTGTATGGGTCATTTCTGACTCTACAATACACAACAACAGTGATTGGAGTAATATGCCAGTATCGTGTGACTTTTTAATAATAACTAACCATTCTATCTTTCCATATCTGGATGCTTACTTAAGACTTTAAAGACTTCCGAAGAAGAAATAATGTTAAGTAAATGTTGTGTTCTACTTCTCTATTGTCCCGTCTTCCTCCCAGCTCCACCCTCCAAATAAAAGGACTGTATTTTATTTTGGGTGAATCTTGACAACAAGACTGTCCAGTAAATTAGAACCAAGAGAGCAGGTTTGAAGGGTGTGAGTTTGCTGCTGTTGAAAAGACATTGGGCTAAGAGAGGTTGTCCTTTCTGCCTTTATACTGACAAGGAGACGGGGACAAATGGGCTGAGTACATGAGTATTCCCTTCTAGATTTGTAGTAAAAAGTCACCGGGCAGAACTTCCCTTCCTACCATGTGATCCCTCTTTCAGAAACACTGTTGAAGCTCAGGTAGTACTTCCATAGCAGGCCATTTGTGAGAATGCTTTGTCTTCCTAATTAGTCCTGTTTAAAGTGGTATCTTGTTTTAAGAATTGGTTTTCTAAGATGAATTTGTTCAAGTGTTTGGTGTATGCTCTCATCCCAGATACTGCAGATGGAGAGTACAGAATCCACATTTGATGCTGATGGAATGTTTTTTAAAGTGACTGTAGCCATAATTTAATTTCCTTAACAATTTTTTTTAATATTAAGAAGAGGGAAGCCTCCATCAATTTGAGATCATTGGTTTTTATCTTACAGTTACTTACCGGATTATTTGTTGTTGTTGTGTATGGTGGGGCCGTAATCGACCCAAAGCTGACTCTCTGGCACGTTTTCAGAAGCGGTAGTTGCACAGGAGAAAATTGCCTGTCCTTTTCATGTGGAGCAGCTGGTAGCTTCGAACCATGTGCCTTTAGGACTGTAGCCCAGCTTCTTTCTACTAGGCTACCAGAGCTCCCTGCTGGATTATTTAGGGGAAAACTTTTTTCTGATGCCACCTATGTCTAAAAAAAATTATAAAGATACCACTCGTTCATTCATTCACAGTAATTTAATTCTATTTTCATACATTCCAGTTTTGTCCTTTACAGATGTTCTTAGTGTTTCATTATTTCATTTATTCACTGAAGAAAAGAACCAACTGGGCAAGCTTTAGCAGCAATAATGATTGCTGTTCATTAACAAATAATTAAATAATAAATTAGTTGTTGTTGCTGTGTATCATAGAGTCAGAACGAAGCCATAGCTGCCCCTCTAGCAGGTTTTCTGAGGCAGTTAATGGTGTGAGAAAAGATTGCCCAACCTCCCATAAGAATTATTTAGCAATAATAATTATAGTTACCATAGCCTCACCTAGCCATGTGGTGAAAGACAAAACCAATGGCTAGGAAAGCCATTTTGAACAAATAATTTACTGCATCACAATATGATGATACTGCTAATATTAGGAGGAATAGTAATTTCAACTACTAGTTTCATAGAAATGGCAGAAGGCATTCTGTGAGCGTTACTGGATTAGCGTACAGATCTGCAGAACAACTGGAGAAATGTGGTTACACAGCTGTACAGTATGACTCCTGTAATACAAATATTTTTTCCATATTTTGCATAAGAAAACTGAAGCGTAGTTGGGTAAGAAATAGATCCAAGATCATAGAGCTAATAAGTGGAAGACTTGGGAATAGTTCTAATGCAGTGCAACCCTGGAGACTTTGTAGTTACATACACTGTATTTCTCACCCTGTAACATGAAGTACATGTTTTCGGTAGATGCCTTAAAATTTCATTCTGGAAATTTGGAAAACTTCCCTCTGCTGTATTTTGTTCTTATTATATCATCAGTAGATGCATAGCACTTGAATAGCAGAGTCCATTGATACTTGTAACATCTGAGAGTTCAAAATAACCCCAGTCTTTCTTCTTTTCTCCAAGCCTTACCCAAACCTCCAGGAACCCCCGTTGTGACAGAGAGCACCGCTACCAGCATCACGCTGACGTGGGACTCTGGGAACCCTGAGCCTGTCTCTTACTACATCATTCAGCATAAACCTAAAAACTCTGAGGAACCTTACAAAGAAATTGACGGGGTGGCGACCACTCGTTACAGCGTTGCTGGACTCAGCCCCTACTCAGACTATGAATTCAGGGTCGTTGCTGTCAATAACATTGGGAGGGGCCCACCCAGTGAGCCTGTGCTCACCCAGACCTCAGAGCAGGCGCCGTCCAGTGCCCCCCGGGATGTCCAGGCACGGATGTTGAGTTCGACCACCATTCTAGTTCAGTGGAAGGAACCCGAAGAGCCCAATGGCCAGATTCAAGGATACAGAGTCTATTACACGATGGACCCCACTCAGCATGTCAGCAACTGGATGAAGCACAATGTCGCTGACAGCCAGATCACCACGATTGGCAACTTAGTGCCCCAGAAAACGTACTCTGTCAAAGTCCTGGCTTTTACCTCAATTGGGGATGGTCCTCTTTCAAGTGACATACAAGTCATCACTCAGACAGGAGGTAAGTAGAGCTCAGAGTGGGTGTCTCAGAAGGGAGGGTTTAGGTACTAATAAGTGGAGAGGGCCAAAAAAAGGAGAAAGACGTGAGAAGTTTGTTTAGATAGTAGGACTTTAACTGTTGCCATTTGCACTTAAAAATGAAAAGATTTATGATAATTTTTGTACAGACTGAATAAAGTCGCATTGCTTAAACACTCAGGAAAGGTTAAGATCAGACGTCTGAAAAAGCCTAAGCAGAGATGCCTGAATGATTAAATAAATTTTGTACTGTATGAATGTACTGTATGAAAGAGGTATATACTTAGCATACTTTCTTCTTAACATGTAATCAAATAACTTGAAGACTTTCTCCATATACAATTTGGAGAATACATTACCTTACTCTACAAAAAAAAAAACCCAAAACAACTTAATTTTTGTAAGATTAGTTCAACACCATTTCAAGAATCAAATCTGTTATCAAACAATCTCTAGTATTCTCAAACATCTTCTGTTTGCTAGGAAGCTGCATTCGTTATATGGTCATAGTCTCTGAATTGACATTCACTTTTCTTTAATGATCTCAGTGGATGGAGAATGATATTTACTAAGATCTAAGATCTCACTTTGAGGCCTAGTTCACCTATGTTACTGGGTGTTTTACAAGATGCCAAACTATTTTATGATGAAAGCCATGACCATACCAGTGGGTCTGGATATCAGACTTCCTTGGTCTTGGATTTAGAGAGTGATTGGATTGACCTTCAGGATTGGAAACATGGAATAGCTGCTGTCTTCTGAAATTTTTCCTCAAGTTCTCATACCTTGTTATGCATGGTTACTTGACTTGTAGTTCTCTTGGACACACATCAGGTAGTGAGCACTTGGGAAGTATACCAATGGCTGATTTCAAGATTTTAGATGAGACCCATGTTACTGGAAATGGCATTTATAATTTACAAAAGCAACTCTGGTAACGCTGGGGATGTATTAATGCTTTTTATCGAGTATCTGAACTAAAACACCTTCATGTTTGTTCGAACACTGCGCTGCTTTCATGTTATTGGCGTTCTGGATTCTGTGAATGACTCTTGTTTCCTTATTTTCCTAAGGCACCATAAATTTTAGAGCGTATTGATAGCCTGCCTAGACTTAAGCTATTTCCATACAATTGTCTGCATCTCAATACCTTATTCACAGATCGTTTTTCCCCCTAATAAATTACATGAAGACTAACTATAAAATACATGTTTCTTGATAAAATAGGAAAAAAATATTCCACTTCCATTTTCACTTTTGTCGGTTGGAACAATGAAGAAGGAAGGGTAGTTGACAACTACAGACATGGTGACAAGAATGAAGCTTGAAATGAAATTAATGAATCATGACTTAGTCATCAAAACACCCCTTATATGAAGATTTGTGTTTTATCAGAAATACAGACAGTGACTTTACACATGAATCTCACCAGATGGATGGCATAGGAATCAGATTGATTATATCTGTGGAAAGAATTGTTGGTGAAAGTCAGTATCAGTGGTCAAAACCAGGCCAGGTACTGACTCAGGATCACACCAGTTACTTTTGTACAGTTTACAGTTTGAGGCTGAAGAAGATTAATACAAGTCTGCAAACCCCCAAAAAATATGACCTTGAGTCAATCTCACCTGAATACGTAAATCATCTTAAGGATAGGTTTGAAGCATTGACCACCAATGTTTAAGACCAGATGAGTTTTGTGATGACATCAAAAAAGGTGTATACCACTATTCATAGCAGCATTACTCACCATTGCAAGAGCATGGAAGTAGCCCAGTATGTACAACCACAATGGAATGGATTGAGAAATTATGGTACATTCACACAATGGAATACTACGCAGCTCTCAGGACCAGTGATTTTGTAAATTACTATCTTACTTTAGAGCGAGTGGAGAGCATTATGTTACGTGAACTAACTCGGTCCTGTAAGAAAAAAATACTGTATAAGGCCATTATTGTAGAACATATATGAGGATCCAGGTGGACTGACACAGCAGCTACAGCAACAGGCTTGACAGTGTGTCAGATTGTGTGAGGTTGGAATAGGATATGACAGGGTTCACATCTGTTGTATAGAGGTTTGCTAGAGCGGTAATGGACTTGATGGCACTTAGTAATAATAATACTGACTTTTGTGATTGTGTATTCACTCTGTTACTAAGACTGGTCAAAAAAGGTGGTTATACGATGCCATCTAGGTGATTCCAACTGATAGTGACCCTATTTACAGGATGCGACTCTGCCTGGTCCTGTCCACAGTATAAACTTAATTCTACCAGTAAAGTTTCCTCTTGGAAAATACTGAGTTCTTGGAAACCTTTACTACTTTTTCTTGACAAAAATTATCAAGTCTTATTTTTTTTTATACTGTTTTAGCAGCTCTCTAACCGTTAACATGATACAGTATGTTGGAAATTAGATTTCATGTTAAGATTTTCCACTATTGCATCCTTGATATTTAAAAACAAAACAAAACAAGCCAACAACTCTCTGGTCCTGATCTCTTTAGGGTTGGGATCCCAGCCTACCATGAATTAACTGTATGATCAGGAATTAGTGACTTCCTATTACAGGATGTGGTTTTTTGTTCTCCTTGAAAATGTGCCAGATGGGATAATGGTTAACCGTGGTGGACAGTGGTGGAGATTCCTGATTAAAACAAGCTTGGAAACAGGAGTGGCATCCACTTCTGAAATGGCTTCTCTCCAGAAACTAAGCAGTGCTCAGGCCTTTCGTTCATAGGGTCGCAGTGAGTCATCTGTGACTCGACAGCACCTAACAATAACAAAATAATAATTACTTTATAGGATTTGAGAATATAGATTGAATAATGATGTTTAAAGTCATACCATATAAAAGCCAGTTGCTGTTAACGGCAGCTTGTGATGACTGTTTCAGCGTACAGCTGTGTTTGGTAGGATTTTCAGCGGCCGATTTTTTTTGGATGTTGATCTCCAAGTCAAGACTGTGAGATGTTGATCTCCAAGTCAAGACTGTGAGAAAAGAGGAAGACCATCAACAAGATGAATTGTCACAGTGACTTTAGCAATGGGCATATCAAAGAATGAGGATGATACAAGACAGGGCAAGTTTTGGGTCCATAGGGCCCTGATGAGTCATGGTCAAGTTGATGGTACCTAATGAGAACAACAGCAACCCGGATGAACTGAGACCTCTTCAGTCTAACATGAAAAAATTCCTGGACTACACAAGGACTCTAACACGTTGTGTACTATTACCACAATAATGGTCACGGCTAGACTATTCTAAGCAGGGTGCTGTGAATTTTATGTGTGTTAATTCTCACAGTTCAGGGAAGTAGACCTTAAATGATCCCATTTGCCAGGGACAACACTGTAGCTCAGAGAAGATAAAAAAAGATGCATTAACGTGCTGAAGGTCATGCAGTTAATAAGGGGAAAAGCCAAATTTAAAACCAAGAGCCCTGGTTATTTTAACCATCATTAATATTTTTCAACTAATATACGCTGTTTTTAGTGGTTTTGTGCCTAATTAGTGTTCAGAAAAAGAATACAAACAAAAAAAAAGAGCACAATATGTAATTCAGTCTTATTTTTAAAAATTAAGTATCTCCAAAAAAAATGTTGGAGGTGATTATTAGAATACCTCAGTATAGAAGTACATGACAACACATAAGGGGGAAAAATTTCAATCTGAAATAAACAGAACACTTTTTTCCCCATAAAATATTATTTACTTGGTCATTAAATTTGGCTCTGAGCTCTCCAGCTACAGATTTTGATGTAAAATTATCCAGTGTTTTCATAACTTCTTCTTTTCTGTGGACAGGATAATTTCATTTTCAAAGAAACCAAATGTTTCCTGAAACAAAATTCAACGCAAACATGAGAATCCTTGAGTTTCGTGAGTCTTTGTATGGCGTACAGACAGTGACAGCAAATACTTTCAGTAGCAATTTCTTGAGAAGGATAGAGTTGGTTTTTAGAGAGACAGATCCTATTTTTATATTCTCCATTACCAGAGGGCATAATCTAACATTGAATCCTAACTCAGTGAAGGCAGCATTGGAAGGAGGGCCCTTGAGTTAATATGATCCAGCGACTCTGCTTTCTTATGGTCTGATTTAATTTAATGACAGAACTGAGGAAATCTAGATGAATGGTTCATGTGTGTATCAGAGCAGTTGTTCCCAGTCTCTGTTTGACTTAACTCTATTTAACATTAAGATATTTCCAAGGACCTTTCTGTAATAGTTCTAAGTTTAATTCCCATTGATTGAGAAGATATATAATGGCATAATGACTGCATCTGCCAAGATCAATAGGCTAAGAAAACCCTTCAAAATTGCACAAGGATTTGATCTGCTCTGTGGGTTTAATTAACAAAAGCCATTTCAAGTTGGTGGACACCCGCCAACTACAATGATATTCGTTCTGATATAATTAATGCTGAGGCATTCATTTTTATTTTTTTTTCCTTACTGCTGACTGGGTAGTTCTTAGGATCATTGCTAAGCAAAAGTATAAAATCATCAGGAAACCTCCTTTGAGGGAGGTTATATTGAATTTAAGAATTAGATCATCTTCTCTGTAATTTTATCTCATTTTTAAGCCTACCAACATTTCCTGATTAGCGATATGAATGCATTTCACAAACATATTTTATTTTCACATGTACTTTATCAGATAAATCTGTTAGGTTTTGCTCAGATTGGACAATCTGCCTCTGTGTATGCATACGTGCATTCACATTTATCTTTAAAGTCAGCATGTTATTGTTGTTGTCTTTGATTATCTTCAAATCGAGCATGACTCATAGCGGCCCTGTGAACAAAAAGCCCGAAGCACCTCTACAACTACTATCAACATATATCAAAGTTCATAGAGTTTCCGGAGGCATGTTGTTTAGGAAGTGGATGCCACTCCTGCTTCCAAATAGCATATGCAAATTAAAACAGAAAAAATAATTAAGCAAGTGTCTTGTTTTGGTAAAATGCACT